GACTTAACATAGGATTCTGCATAGTAGATGGGTGTGCTTGCTTTACTTGTATCTTCAGTTGTGGACTGTCCAAGGCATCTACAAATTGATCCCTCAGCAACAGCTTGAGGACATCGGGTGGCACAGTTGGGTAGGCCTTGTGTGCCATACTTTCCAAATCCTGTGCCAGCTCTCCCCTTTAGCACGGACTCTAGTCCTAAACCTAGCCCTGTAGACTCCAGACTGATTTTGGGTTCCATACCTGAGTTCTAGAGCAGCTACCAGTGCTCTATAGTTGTACCTGTCATCTGCTGACAACTGTGTCCAAGCATTTCCAGAGGTTGTCCCTTCAAGCTCGTTGCCAGGTACACTGCTTTCTGCTCCTCTGTCCATCCATTCATCTCTGCCAGGAGCTCAAATTGTGCTCTATATGATTCCTACGGTGCCTTCCCATCGATTTCCTGTGGTTTCCTTCATACTAGATCACCCATTTTGCTGACACTCATGTCTGGAATGTGACTTCTGACAGGACTGAAGATGTTTGCATTAGGGTTTAGCTGCGGGGTCTGGAAGGGGCTTCCTGTTGTCTGGGGCTGATTAGGTTCATGGCTAATATATCCTCCTTGTGTAAAAGACAGTAAATCATCCTTTAATGTACTTAATTCACTTTGAAATTTACTAATCTTTTCCATTTGTGTGTGCTGGCTTTCTCTCAATTGTTGGAGTCTTTCTTCTTGTTTCTTTTCTTGTTCCAGTTGCCAGTGGTGCTGGTTTTCCTGCCACTGCTGTAGTCTCTCTTCTTGTTTATTTTCTTTCTCCTCCAACCACTGCTGTAGCCTCTCTTCTTGTTTATATTCTTTCTCCTCCAACCACTGCTATAGCCTCTCTGCTTGTTTCTTTTCTTTCTCCTCGTAACAACACAAAACGAATTCTTAAATGTTTATTTCACTATATAGACTGTTGTAGAGGATAATTCATCAAAGTAGTACGGTATCATTTGTTCTGTTTATAACATCATTATGGTGAGCATGTACGTGCATCTAATTCCTCAACAAGTGTTCTTTGTGATGACTGCTTATAATGTCCTATTTTACAGAAACCTTGTTTGATAATTGTTGTAAATAACCTTCTTAGTGAACTTTCAACCCATAGCCAAGGATACATTTGTGTTGGGGTCTGGTCGGAACCAAGGTGACCCACAACATACACTTTCAGTTTTCTTTGAGTTGAATTTTGCAGTATTGTGGTAATCTAATCATATATTGGTGGATAATGACTTGAATATAGGAGAAAAATAAACCTTTGGCATTTTTCTGATATACTATTTGTACAAGCAATGGCTTAATACAACATACTTGTATATTGAGGAACAATATAATTTTGCTATTCCTTGCCTTGTCAACATATATCCTCTAGCATAAATAATATTTATGCTGTTCACATTGCATGCTAACCTAAATAAAGGTTGTAATGCAAGTGTTTTGTGGAATTTCAATCCAGAGCTTATTAAAATGGTAATCTTGCACTGGGGTCTGGTTGAAACCCAGGTGTTCCATAATGTAACTTTTCAAAGGTGTGCTGAGGAGGGTTGAATACAGTCTTGATATATTAATAAACAAGTATGATTGCAATATAGATACATTACAATACTATTAATTATTCAACTAGCCATTTTACATATCTGACCTGAAAGTTTCCATTACAGCCTTTTAACCAAAAGTACATTATTTTGTGCCACAGTGCATGTGTAGCACAGCTGCAACTTTGTGTAAAGAGAAAAGGAATTAATAAATATAAAAGCACAATATAAAATTATCTACAGCGATAGCTATGAGAGTTTAGGCAAACATATGGGAGACCCAAGAGTGCAACACAGGCAACTCACGTGACCATGCTGTGGCATCCAGTCTGCACTTGTTCTGACACAGGTATTACATAGGTATTGTGCACATAAGTATGAGTAAGTTAATGGTTAGTGAGTATGTTTTTGCACCTACTATATGATAGCCTCAGTGAACGTAAAAAAAAATATATTGTGCATGTACAGACTATGCATAAAGTAAAAATGTAAATAATATCATTACTACTTGTGTAGAATTATACATGGATTTTCCTCTACGTTAAAATACTGTTATTCACGAGCATTCGGCCCACTTACTGGAACTTTCATCGAGCAACATGCTTTGACAACTGAAATTAATTATTCAAATTTCCAGCCACATATTAAGTTTTAACAATATTCAGTGCAGGAACTGCATACATGACTCTACACGTCAGCCACTAACAATGTTTATTGAATTTGGCAATACTGTAGAGGTTATTTCAATTCCATCTGTATTCATTCCTGCGCATAGAACAGGTTCCCAAATTCATATATATTGAAAAAGTCACTAGTAGCATCATCTAATGGAAGACCTGTGACTTCATTTAGTTTGTTTTTAGTTTCACACAAAGCTACATGAGGGCTATCAATACTAGCAGTCCCTAACTTAGCAGTGATAAACTAGAGGAAAGACAGCTAGTTAACACCACCCACCACCAACTCTTGGGCTACTCTTCTACCAATGAATAGTCAGACTGACCATCACATTATAACCACCCACACACACATAGCTGAAAGGGTGAGCATGTTCAGTGTGAATGGGATTCGAATGTGCGACCCACAGGTTGTGAGTCGAGCGCCCTAACAACCAGGCCATGCCAGGCTGACCTGTGACTTTCTATTAAGTGTAACACTACTACTTGTGAGGTGGAAGCCCAAAAGATAATGCAAGTATCTCACAAATACCTCACAGACATAATGAGATGCAGTTAAAGGACAGCATGGCATAACACAAGTATGACTCATTACAACACAAGTATATCCATGTTATAATCAGGAAAAATGTACATTTTCTTTTAACTGTCACTATACACACTTATAAATCTTCAGAGTTTCACTCAACCACAGAAACAAATGAACTAAGAGTACAACACTGAATGAAGAAAAATAAACTGTATTTCAGACTATAGATAGGAATTTTTCTGTTACTAGTTAAATATATTTTGTTTACATATTTCCAAGTGCACAAGTGTTTTAGCATTTTCAGATCAAAATTTATTAATATGTAGAAAAAAATAATTATGCTATGGGGTGGGAGTTAGAGATAAAAGGAACCACCAAACTTAAATATCAATAACTTTAATAACAGAATTACTGAAACAATCTTTAGTACAAAGTTCGTACCTTTTTTGTCAAGTTGAAATCTTTTTTCCTGGGGCCCATTTTATGAAAATTTTTCAGATTATTCTGACGTTCCTTTTCTTTTCTTTTGTCCCTACAGGTGAATAGAAATACTTATAATTAGAGCTTTACACATTCTGATCCTTATAGCATTTATTGTGTGAAAAAATTAAAGAACATTTCATTAAATGTCTCATTACCATAAAGACTATTAGCCTGAAGTATATAATCATCTAAGGCAAGTTACAATTACTTTTTGTCACTAATTAACAATTAGTCTTAACCCCATGCTTCAACTGCTATCTTGCAGTTGTCCTTATGAGAGTCCTGAAAAGAATTGCATATGGTAGGTAGCACACTTGTTTTTCAAATATTGTCTCTTGCTCCAACACACAGTACTTCTCAGAATTCATGTGAAATGGTAGTAGAATAGGATAAAGGAAAATTACAATTAGTAAAAAAAAAATAGGAAAAACCCAATTAGTAATTATAGTAATTAGACTTGGATGACAGTATAAGCTACTAACCATGGCAATCATTGGTATCTGATTGCTACTGCTCAACTATATTCTAAATAAAAATATGTACATAATACATGGGTTTTATGGCAAACCTTGAAGTAAACAAACAAGTACAATTCAACCAGCAGGTGGTTAAAGACATACTTAAAGAGACATGCAAGTTTAGTGACAAATAATAACTCAATTATATGTGACACAATAATTTACATACAGAAATGTTGTAGATTAACAGACTGAAACCATTTTTAATGGTATTGTTTATTCACAGAACATGTTATTTTGGCAGCAGGGTTACCATATACTGAGATACATCACCACCTCCACGAATTAAATTATTACATTTTACTACCAATGATATTAGGATATTAAATAATGAAGTGCATAAGAAAATCAATGTGCAAGATCATGTGAAAGTAATACTTGATGTTGGATATACAAGACTATTTAGTTTAAGAGTTATTATTTAGTTTTCAAAACAAGTGTGGTAAAAGTAATTATTTTAAAGGTGATAGTTAGAACAAATTTCATTGCATTGTGTTTGTTGTTCAATTGTTGTAATTTGATGTTACATTACTCAAACCTTCTGTATTTTTCTTGTTTCCTTAAGTGAGAATTGTTACATCATAGCATATTATAGTTTGTAGAAAGTTCTAGGCCTCAGTTGGGCAATGTATTTATATATTTGCAACTAAGTGAGTGCAAGTTAAGTCAGAAAATGTTAGGTTAGTGAAAGTGAAGTTAGGCTGCATGATGTGATCGTTAATTTAGCCAAAAGAGGAGATATTTTAAAGTGAGTTTCATAGTTTAACAGAGATAAGGAAAATAATATGTCTTATCAAAGGGTGTTCTAGAGTAATTGAACTCACCTACGCGGACTTTGACGAAAAGAAGACAATTATTTAAAGTTCTGGATACAACTGTGGTAACCCACGGGGTAAATGTGATTGAATTTATCACAGATTGTATAGTAAGAAACAGAGCAGAGAAAAATAATTTGTCTTGTCAATTTGATTCTCATGTAACTGAATCAGCTTGTGTGGACTTTTGACAAGAAAATAGAATTATTTAGAGTTTTAGATACAACTGTGATATTATATAGTGTAAAGAATTTTTGTACACATGTTTGATAGTGAATAGTGTGCTGTCCATTTATCGTTCATATTTATCACCAACAAGTTAGCACACACCTGCTGTAAAAGAATCCCGGCCCTATATACAAACATCCTGACACTTGTCAACAATTAAACTTTTTGAATATGAAATTTTAAGTAATTATAAATATATATCACGTTTTGCTATAAACCTAAATCATGCTTATTTTAAAAACAGATCAACATTATTATTGCATGGACAACATGTGGTCATGCATAGGTTATACATACATAACATAAAGCAGATTATTCAACGTATGACATGTATATAACATACAGTGAAAAAAAAACCCAACATAAATAAACAGAAACTTTAGAATATAACCAATCAATGTACATTAATAATAGTAAGACAAGATGATTAATAGAAAATACAAAAAAGTTATTGAATAATATACTAGCCTATATTGAATGTACATAGCAAAATTTTTGCCTTGGATAACTATAGATATGATTTGGTAGTAGGCCTGGTTTTTGCTTCTAATACTCTTAAATTCTAGGCTTAAGTATACTACCACTACTTCTATAGTACCAGTAGCATCATAAGTTTTAAAAGCTTTAACATCACTTTTATTTTGATCATGTGGTTATTAGTTTTATGTATTAGCTAGATTAACAAAGAATTATATCTTGTTTTTTGATTACGTTGAAAGCAGACTAGGAATTTATCAGTATATAAGATAATAAGATTAACAAAATAAAAAATTCAAACATAACTTTATCCTATTCATCAGGTTAGTTCTTACTATTTCTAATATCTAATCAAAATTTTGGTAATTTCTTAAATGACTAGAAAAAGTCTGATAATGAACAGTAGAGCCATAGCAACAATTGTAAATATATTTAATAAGACTAATTATTTTTTTTCTTTTTTGAAATTGAATGTTTTATAATATCCTGACATTATTCATTGTATTTTTTATTTGTAATTATGCTGAAGTTGGAATATGTGTAATTCTGAAACTCTCATTAAATATTCGGTGACGAGGAACCCACTTTGAGACTAATAATGGCTGGAGACGGCTTGAATGTGTAATGAAGAAAAACTTTAATATAAGTTGAACATAACAGCAAATGTACAACGTTTTGATAAGGTTTTGTCATCATCAGGTACTATGTAAGTGGCTTTACAGCTTCCACATATATATTTATATACAAATTTTTTTTTGAACTCATCTTCTAATTTCCTAACTACTCATTGTATCTTTATATATCAGTAATTATACTGAGGATTGTTCAATTCAATATTTTCCTAGATTTGCTAAGATTAAATAAGTGTAATTCCGAAACATTCATTAAAGATGTTTACAATTGTTGCTGTGGCTCTACTGCTCATTTTCAGAATTTGTTTTCCACCAAATAAATCAATGACTAGAAAACTTCTATATAGATAGGTCAACACTTTTAAATAGATATGACATTAAAAAATTAGTTGTATTATACACACATATGGGGAAAAACAACTCTGCATGGGCTTTGCTTAGGAAATTTTAATCTGTATATAGTTTTGGCTCAATTGGCCTGACTTCTAACACATTATTTATTTAATGGTATTGTTTATTCACAGAACATGTTATTTTGGCAGCAGAGTTACTATATATTGAGATATATCACCAACCCCATGAATTAATTTATTACGTTTTAGCAAAGTCTAGTGACTAGCCTTGAGCAATACAGGGATTCTAGAATTTGCTCCTCTCAGTCAATTAATCTACTGAATAATATTTAATATTAGATAAAGGAAGTTCTCTGTTCATAAAATGTTCTGCCACTGTTGCACAGGGTCAGACTAACCCTAAAAGTAGTATGGTGACTCAGTGTACAGCCTACTTGTAGGGTTAAATTCAAATTGTTGTTTTTTTGGTAGAAAATATGTACAAGTGATATGGAAAAGGAGAGAGATTTCAAAGAAAAGTTTAAAAATCAGATGAATTAAGAGAAATTAAATGAGAAAAATTGAAGAAGTATTTGAAACTTCAAATATTTTGTACATGCATGTGTACAGTAGTTTTCAGTAAATACAGATGTTTTTACTTGTTCTTTACCAATGTTAACTATGGTATGGTAAATCAACCTTACATAACAAACTAATTTAATCTACACAAAAAAAATTTTCCTACAAATTAATCTTTATTACCTATAAAACATTCCTTCAAGGCCTAAACAAACTTAAAATTTTTACCAAAACTATCATAAATGTCACGTGTACAAACCCAAGTACTAAATGCTTTATCTTGTATCTCAACAGACCTGATATATTTATGACACCTTGACAGATATGATTTTTCCCAAATATGGTGTTTTTAGAACTGTTCAGTTCTTTGCTTATTTCATGATAGGAGCAGATCCAACATTTCCAAATCTAGCATTTTTTTTAGATCTATCCAATTCCTCACCTAATCCAGAGCTGTCATTCTATACATGAAGCTGCTCTAGCATTTTGTAAGGGTTTAAAGTATTGAAGTAATGGACCCGAAGTCAAACTTGCAGGGATTGTTAGTGTCACTGTTGCATCACAATTATATTTATTCTTTGATTTAGTGAAATAGGTCATAACATTTACAACACATGCACCACTAATTTAGTTTTTTGGTTTTTTCCCTTAACTTAGGAGTGAAGAAAATTTTACAAATACTTAAGACTGATCAGTCTATCACAAAATATACACAGCATTTTTTACTAGTAACCCATTTAAATGGTTTTATCTGTTTATGCACTGAATTACTTTTCTAGTTAAAAGTGTAAACCCAACTATTTTTGCCAAGGTGACCGCAAAATTAAATTAAGCACTTACTTTCACACATTTAAGCACTTTCTCTAACCACTGGAATATGATCTGTCACATACCTAGATCTATAATTATAGACAATATTACCATAAAATGAGTATAAATAGTCAAATATATCAAGCATTTAAATTTCCAAAATATATTTACTACTCTCAGTCAATGAAATAAGGGATGTAATTCTAAAGAGAACATGGTACTATTATGCTAATCTCTTCATATTTCTGTTGTCTTTGTATGAAAAGACTAAAATCATTTTCTACATTTTTGTTCTTCTGAAAAGTGATTATCAACATTACTTACTGACAATAAGCCATATGTATTTGTTACAGGTAGATCTACAGACCATAAGAGTGTTTTAAGTTAAATTTTGTGGAATGTTTTATGTAAAGATCAGCCTGAAATACAATTGCTGGTTATAAATAACCTTTCTTATAAACTTCAAGGTAAAAAAATGCAAATTCTGAACAAAATATTCAAAAATTAAGAATTTTTGAAGGTTCAAACAATATCTAGGTACCTCCCCAAATTCAAGCAGTTTTCAATCTGTGCAAACCAGTAACAACAACATAACATTTTGACTGGTTATTACAAGATAAATTAAAAATGATGGCTACAATTTTACTATATACATACTGCAATATAATAAAGTGCACTAATGTGATAATAAGTATGTAGTAATGACCTGTTGGCATCACTAAGATTTTTCAGGAACTAAACTAATACAAAAATCAAACTAAACCATACTTCAAACATAATATACGAGTACTGTGTGTCACCAGGTGGCTTTCTTTACAATTTTGAGTCATTCCACTTTACAAAAAGGAAACCCAGTGGTTGGTCATATTGTCCCAAAATTTCAGATTATGTTCTGATGTGGATAAATTTGATCCTCAAACCAGACTTCAATAAAAAAAAAAACTGGTCCTAAAATGCTGCAATACAAATTTTTGATAATCAGTATTACAAGCCAAGCAGATATCAGTGGGAATTAAAATAAATGGGTAAAAACAGCTTATTAAAATGTAGCAGGCATTTCTGTAAACCTAATATTGTACAGAATTAACCAATAAAACAACAAATAATAAAGGCTCTTTGCTAAAATGCTAATTTCTGAGCTTGTGACATAACCAACATTAATAAAGGCTTGTCCTGTCAAGAATATTGTATATATTTTTTAATTTTGCTTTCATGTTGTTTACAGTGAGATTATGCCAGACACAATTAACAGAACTAAGACCCATCTTGAAAATTATATTTTTGTTTTTTTAAACTCTTGATCAAATGATACAAGGTCTTCTGATTTTGCTTTGTTGTGGGCTACATGGGGTTGAGTACATTATATTAAAAGTATTTTGAATAAGCAAATCATCAAGTCATGTAACAATCATAGCCATTGTACTGTTGTGGTGAAATGCCAGAACTATATTTTGACACTCTGATGTTTCATAGATAGTGTGATACCACCAAATGCTAATCACTTCTGGAAATGGTGTGCAATAATCCTACTCCAATGTAAAATATTCATAAACTCGGATCATAAAGATGTGTTGAGATTGAAGATTTAGAATCACTAATATGAGAATATCCCTTTCACTTATTGACATTGGAAAACAAAGAAATATATATCAACTTGGAGAACCAGAATCATCCAGAAAGAGGCCTGCAAAAAATCACATTCCATTCATGATAAGAAAAGTGCAGTCTTTTAACAGGTGAGAATCCAAGGTCAGGAACAAATTCCACCCATGTGTCCCAAGCAGCAGTACACACCATAATAAAGAAGGATCTTCATTGGTAAATGAAATACAAGTCACATGTACACAAGCTGTTCAAAGCTGAACAGGGAGGAGTAGTGTGCTTTGAACATAACAGCTTTACGGCAGTTATTTTACAATGAAAACTATGCTGCAGGGCTATTGTATGGTCGTCAGATAGTTCACGTGTCCAGATGTGGCAACATGGATTGTTGGTTGTGATGAGCTCCAAAATCATTTTAATATACAACCCTCTGTATAACAATATTAGTATTTTTATTATCTAAACAAACAAGTTAACATTTAGTTGTGAGTTTCTTCTGCTCAGTTTTAAGAAAAGAAAACATTTTTTACTGTAACCATTTGTAAAGAGCAACACTAGTAAAGATACTTATATAAAATACTACCAAGGTACAAACCTGAAAGGAATACTCTGGATATCCACATTAGTTGCAACAAAGCCTTCCACATTTTGTCTTTTCACTTCTGGCATGTTTGGCATCTTAAGTAGTCCAAATCCCTCAGCTAATTTCCCGAGGTCTAAATCTGAAAGTTTTCATTTTCTTTTCAATGAAGCCAAGTAAACATCTATATAATCTTTCATTCAAGAATTTAGGGTGTAATAAGTACTATTATATTAAATGATTTAAAACAATTATGTAAGATCAACTTCCATTGTGTGCTTGTCTTTTATTGCTTTTTTTACAGAGTGTAATCTTGTAATAAGAAGTGTGTTTACATGCATCAATCAGCCTTATGCATGTCACTTGTAATAACAGTTATTCATTCTAGTGGTAATTTTTCATTTCCTAAAAAAAATGTGGGGTAAAAATGATTAATGCTTCTGGATTATTTTATTTTTAATCAAAAAAGTTCATATTTAAATAAAAAGAAAGTAAAATCACTTAAAATTGCACTTGCTAAATAACCAAAACTTCAGTTATCTTGAGCTAAACTACAGTTTGTAGACCTACATCTACATTACAAAGAAATGTCAACAGCAAATGTTTCACTAATTTTAACTTTTCTGAGTTAAAAAAAAAGACATAGTGATGCCCTGAATATAAATAAACAGGACACTGGGTATTTTCCATTTAATCAGTGTACACAATATATTTTATTCTTGCATATTCCAATTCAAATATTGCATAATGCTAAGATTTGACAAGATATAGTTTACCTTCTCCAATTGATTTATTTTTTATTTTTATATCAATATCATTCTAAATTAGTTACCAGCGTTGTTAACTGTTAAAAATAACTTATTATTATGGGTATTGAATACATGTAATTATGTACTGTCACTGGTTTTCTATCACTGAGGCTTGGTTATCAATCGTAAGCAAATTTCAGTAGCTTTGTATTGTAAAACCATAAAAAACAAAAATTTTAACTTTCATGTAATTTGTCTACTTTTATAATGTGTTTAATAATTATGCCTTTATCTTATTTACACATTTATAACACCTTTCTGCAAAGTGGACTAATGAAGTGAAAAAATGAGCATATAATTTAGAATACAAGGTTCATCTGCTGCCAAAAACAAGCACAGACAATACCACTGCATAGCTCTGTGCTAAGAAAACTAAACAAAACATTTGCAAGAACTCATTATACTCTTTAGTGAATGAATGTAAACAGTAGAAGTTTACCTAGCTTTATTCATGTTTTGAAACCTAACAATGCAAGAAAAATTTTTTTGTCTTTCTTTGAGTGGAATAAAACCTATATAAAACTTGGATATCTGATATAAATGTGTAAAATATAATAGTAAATTAAGATAAATATTTGTGAAATTAAAATATATTTCAAACCAAAGTTTCTTGTGGGTATTAAAAAATAAGTTTTATTGCACTTTGGTAAACTAAAATGTTTCATTAAAACAAATATGGTAAATTCCACTTGTTTGGCATATAATGTCCACAAGATTTGAGAATAAGGTGGATAGACTGCAACATGTGAGAATAAGTGTGGGAGAGAAGAGTTAGACAGTTTTATGTAATACAACAAAATGCTAATTTATTATCCCAAGACAACAAAACAGACAAACACAACTGAACAGAGAATGTCTGCATATTGATTTTAAGACTGGGCATCTTAATAAAACTTCATGTCTCTATAGAAATATTGCTACATTAACCCTATCACCCCGGGTACCCTTTACTGCGCATGACACAAGGTTTTAGTGTTTTACATTCAAAATTTTATTAAACTACTTTTTGTTTAAGTTATACCAATTAGAATAGCATTAGATCTTAGATAATAATCCATATTTTAACAGTATACAAATTTTAAGTTCTTAATTATACAAGACAATATTTTAAAAAAATCCTGAATTTCCACTAGTGTGACCCACAAGACATTTTTTCTTAACATGTCATCATCCACATTTTATGCACCACCTCTCAAAAAAGTATGAAATTAAACGTAAAATACTCTCTATAAAATCGTTATTGCTCAAACAAACCATAATTTTTATAGTCTTCAATTCTGTTTGGTTACAGAGCTATCAAAGAAAAAATCAGACCCCTTCTGCCACATCCTCTTTTTCACAATTCGTTGATATTTCTCTCTTACATTTCATTATATATATTACCTATAACCAATAGAAAGTCAAGGTTTTCATCTATCAAATGTATAACATTGTATTCTGAACAGAATATTGTCAATTTCACTCATACAATATTCGTTCCCATGGGAAAGTTAACGACTAGCTTGGATGAATTTATAATGGCTCTTGGAAAATTTTCAGAGTTAAGTGAATTTGTCTACTTTTGCATGTTAT